GGATGGAAATGGTAGAAGAGGAAGAAAAAGGAGAAAGTAAAGAAGCCATGGAAGTTGAGGAAAATGAGCATGTGTGCCTGCCAGGAATGTGCACAGTAGAGGTGAGGAAAGAACCTGTACCAATAAGCTCAAGCTCAAGCTCAAGCTCCAGCTCCAGCTCAAGTTCATCGAGTGAAAGTGATAGTGAGGAAGAAGGAGAAGGTAAAGCCAGAGTGAGCGGGTTTGAAAAGGAGTTACAAGACTTACAAGAGAAGATGGAAACAACAGAAATGGAAAACCTGCAAAGTGGGGTGGAAGAAACAGAGGAAGAAAAGCAAATAAATGAGATGATAAGTAAGGAGGAGGAGGAAATTGCTAAAATTACAGAAAAGTTGGAAGAGTTAAATAAAAACGAAGCAGAATGGAAGTTGCACAAAATAGATGAGGAGTACTTGTCAAAACCAACGCCAAAAGCAGGATGGGCAGAAGCACTACAAAAGAAGAAACAGGAAGAGCAGGGGAAGAAGAAATTCCATCCGGAGGATCCTCGGTTCCAGCTGCGTTGCAGGAAATGTAACCAGAGGGGACATCAGACATCAGCATGCACTGGAGAAAAAAGGAGGAGAAAGCATTAGTATAAGTCCTGTTCATTTAAATTGGAGGTCAATTGTAATGTTTGTTTAAAAGTTTAAATAAAGTTGTAACCATTGTTTGTGAACCATGTGCGTTATTTCACAAACATTCCCAGCAACACTGGAAGCGGAAACAACGGTAAGGGCAAATACATGAAGACACAAACAGGGCAGGGAAAAGTTTAATAACAGAGTGCTTTCTTGTAGAAAAACAGCTCTTAAGAAATACAAGCCCCCAGAGTGCTTTCTTTCAAAAAAAGACAACAACTCTCAAAGAAAAAAACAAAAAAAAACAACAGTAGTGAGTGACGGAGCGTTGGAAAAGAACAAGGCCCGGAGTGGGAAAATAAACAAAAAACTCGGGCATGGTAAGGAAGGACACTGAAATAAAAGTAGAAATTAGTAAAGAAAGGAAGAGGTCAGGGATCAGAAACAACCCGCAACGACTAACCTCACTCTTCTGGAGGGTTGAGCTCACGCACCGGGGGCGGTGGTACAAGAGGGAAGGGAATTACTTCCTAGAATAAAAACAGCAATCAGCAATAAAGGAAAAGAATGGGTAAAAGAAGCAAGCCAGCCAATAACGTACATAAGCAGGTCCTTTGCATAAGACGCAGTGGTAAAAAGGTTGGGGGAGGGTTGACCCAACCACCCAGTCCAGGCCAAAGCGGCGATGACCGGAGAAAGTGTATAACAAGGGGTCAGACACACAAGCTCCGCAGATCGTAACATTTTCACCCCAAAAGTCCCATGCATGGTGCAGGAATTGAAAAATACAAACAAGGTCCATGGTAACAAACACTGAACTTACAAGGACTAGATGGGGGTGACTGCGGAGGCGTTGATGGTGGAGATGGCGGGAAGCCAAGAGGATTGAGGTGGAGAGGCAGCAACAGAAACAGGAAAATAACAGGAAAAGGAAAAGAAAAGAGAAGGATAAAAAAAAATATATTTGTAACGTACGTAGCAACCAGAGTCGCAGTACCCGCAGAGCCAAAGCCCGGGTAAATCCCAAACAGGAACAACCGACAACCAAGTGGAGTAGTACTGAGTGGGAAGCCAATTGGGGTCCCAAGCAACCCAGTTGGTACAACGGTGGCACGTATACCAAACCTCACTGTCAGGTACAAAGATTGATTCAAAGGCAATGCCCGCAACCGCGACATGACCCGGAGGAATATTGATAAACGGGGCAAGAGCCATGATGACAGTAGAGTACAAAAGACACAAGCGCGGGAACAGAACGGCACAACAAGTAAACAACAACACCAGCAACTAGTAGCTGACGCCCGTCGAGGGACTTGACGCGAGGCTAGGTTGCAGAAAGAAAACAAAAGGGTGGTGCGGGGCCCCCGCTAGTGTGTTGCTGTGGAGTGCAAGTATTGTTTGTGCAGTCTGAAGTTCTTCATTCTTCAAGTGTGAATGCAGTTTTGTGAGGATTTGTTACCTATTCAACGCTGCAGGAATGATGGACATCATGGCACTGGATTGAGGGCACACTTTATGCAAGGACAGGAAGAAGCCCCGCATCGTTAACTACAAGTTCAACTCCTTTCACAAACTCAACTACTTGTACCATACCACTCCACAGATCTAAACATGGAGAACATTCAATAGCCAAGCCTAAGGCGGCTGCCAAGCCCAAGAACACCACTGCCAAGTCGAGAGTCGAACCCGAGTCCCCGGGGTGAGAAGCTACATTGCTGCCTGCTTCACCACCGCACCACCACACGGACCGGCGAAACGGAAGGACGGGACTAGCGTCCAGGACCGAATAGCCGACAGGTTCAGCAAACGGTTGCCAAGGGCTACCCCACAGCCAATCCAAGAACAGCAAGACTCAACCGTCCCAGCAGAAACATCCAGTGACAGCAGTCAAGGATGCTCCACAAGAACTCAGGACAAGTTCAGGATAAAACTAAAGCTAAGTATTTTTAAGACTCAGAGGTTAAAAGTGATAAGATAGGTTGGTTAGACACTGGTGTCAGATAGGTGAATAGTTATGTTAGGAGACACCCAGACAGGTTGAATCCCAACAGTGTACAAATTCAGTAGGAAGTTCAGCTCAAATACTGTACAGGAAAACGTTTGTTTCAGTGAACCATCCCCTTTTGGACCACGGAATCATCACAATCATCCAGAGATGTCCAGGAATCTTCAAGAAAACAACGATCTCAACAAGATTTAATCAAAATATAATTAGATGGATCTCCCGAGTCTGACTCTGTGAACAGGAACCACTATTACCGCCAATTCCAAGTGTAATGGTCTGAACATAAGTCAAGGCTACTCTGATAATGTCAGAGAGGAGCTGAAGTCAAACTTTCTTTTTGTTTGCACACTGAGTATGGACTAGTAGGGTTGAATAACCCGTAGGTTCAGTACAAGGTGGAAGTTTCAGGTTGTCAACAGTTTTATTAGCTTTAGAAAAATTGTAAAGTGTCATGGCAAAGGGGTGCGCGTAAAAGGAAGGTTGTTTAAAGAGGGAGTAATGTAGTATTATGAGGTTTCATTAAACCTCTCATAGAAAACCATAACCTAAGCTGTCAAGCCAATCATAACATAGCAGACGACTGCAGTTGTTTGGTCACGGCCTACTCGACTCTTACCCTTGGTGGCGCCACCTTCAAACCCAAACCTGACACTAACTCCTATTATTGTTTTACGATCAACACGTTATTGTGCGCCGCAAGGCGCGGGATCTTGAATAAAAGCCGGCTGGAGCCCAGGGCTCTTCGCCACACTTCCACTTGACTTTGACTTGTAATCATTCAGACTTGGCTCGGCACAGCCAAAGCGCCCAATACTACAATATAACTTATTATTCAATGTTCTCAAGCGCACAACCATTAACTCAATTCAATTTTGACACATAACTACTACAACTAACCTTGACCATTTCTCTAATTTAAGGTTCCAATTCAGCTCATCAATATGGCAAATGCCACACCAGATGCTCAAGATATCATAGCTGATCTCGAAGCTCGTTTAGTAGGTATGTATACTTTGATTATTTTCTTAAATACTACCATTTCTAATTTAGCAATGAAAATGTTTATAATTAATTTCCAATGATCCGCAGAAGCCCTTAAAGAATTGGACATATCGAACTTACAACGCAATTGGGCTTGTTACGAGAACCATTCCATAGTGACTAGCTACAATGCATTGTTACATGAATATCGCAAGTTAGATCCCAAGTAAGCTTTTCTTTCCTTGTATATGCCAAGTTACGATTTCACCTTTTCAATTTTTTAACCACAATAATGGTCTTGCTCATTTTTCCAGTGCTGACTTAAAGGATATGAACTACATGGATTTCGACGCACCATGCAACAACACACATACAAGTGATAATTCATTGAATGGCAATAAAAAAGGGTAGATTCTTAAAGGACCCCTCACCGGAAGGACCCCCCTAATAT